TGTGTTGTGGTTTCTCAGGCGCCGCCTGGGCAAGGTCCTGTGCAGCTTGCTGTAGGTGCCCCTGCTTCGGCAGGAGGGTTGGACTAGATGACCCACAGAGGGCCCTTCCAACCCCTACTATTCTGTGATCTGTGAAATAGCTTTAGATAAAAAATATATCAAAGGAGCTCTTCAGTTTAGAGCAGCTGAAGCTCCCGGAGCAGAAGTCCGCCCTGAGACCTGCCTCGGCTGCCGGAGAGATGGCGGGCTGGGCCACCTGGTAGGGCTTTTGTGCCTTTTGCCTTGGTTGTTCCTAAGCCACCCTCACCTTTCCATTCCTGCAGATACATCAGCATCCTCCCAGCAATCCCGGTCACGCTGTACCTGAACCCGCAGGAGGCCTTGGAAGTGCGGCATCCCCAGGAGGCCAACCGCTACCACCCCTTCTTGTCATCGAGCAGTGGGAAGCTGGGCGCTGGAGCGCAGCCCGACCAAGCCTCCGCCAAGCTGCAAGGGCACCAGGATGTCACCCTTTACAAGTAAATCATCCTCCATGCGGCCTCCTGACCGTGCCTGCGCTCCCTCGGAGACACTGCTTGCTCTTTGGCTCTTCTCCTGGAGGAGGGAAAAAAAGGAAAACAAAAAATATTTGTAAAGCTTCCGTGCCAAATCCCATAAAGCTCAGGAGGCTCCAGCTCAGCGAGCGCAGCGCTAAATTAATCTCTCCTCGCCCCGTTTTGTTCTGAGCTCCCTGGCAGGAGATGGTGTGTACAGCCCAGGCTCTTGGCAGGAGGTGCTGGTGGTGGGAGCAGTCTGATGATAGAAATTGATGACTGTGGACAAACGGCGCGCGGGCTTGATGCGTAGTCAGGCGCTCGCTGTAATCTGGTAACGGCTGTGGATTGGACGCGCGTTTGGAGGGTTACGCTGGGAGGGGTCGGAATTGGGTGGCTTGCTGATGCTCAGCCTGCTGCTCCTAGCATGGCACACGATGCGTGACAGAATCCCAGAATCCCAGCACGGCAGGGGTTGGCAGGGCCCTCTGTGGGTCACCCAGCCCAACCCTCTGCCCAAGCAGGGTCACCCACAGCAGGCTGCACAGCACCGCGGCCAGGCAGGGCTGGAATATCTCCAGAGAAGGAGACTCCCC